ATTAATGAGACTGGGTCCAAACCCTCCCCCCCCAAAAAAAAAAATTATTCTTGCAAAGAACAATTCTAAAAATGAATGCTCAGGGTCATATGTGGTACTTATCTGTCTGGTGTGCCACGTCTGTGTAGAAGAGGTGACGGCATGTCCCTGACCAGCAGAGGCGATTTGAATGTGGTGCTAATGAGGCCAAGGTAATAGGTTTAACCCTGTGAACCCATTATTTTCATTAACCTCGATAATCACAGATTTCATCCCTAACAGTGGCCAGCCATCCCATAAACATCCTGTTAGTCATGAAAGAGACATGGCAAGAGTGCAGATCGCCTCAGACAGTTATTACCGCTGGGAACGGCAGCTCCGGCACCCGGCCTGCTGCTGACGGGTTGAGAGGACCAGCCTCCACGGCGGAGGTCAGTGCTGTGCTAACGATGCATCGATATTTAATTAGAGGTGAAAGAAAATAACAGGTGTGCAGCATATTGATTTTAAGAACTAATTTCATCAAATCCCACTTGTTGAGTCACCAAGAAAATCTCTGAAAATGTCCTTAAAAATGTTCAGGGGCCTCCCTGGTGGTGCAAGGGATTAAACACCGCACTATGAAGCAATCTGCAGCCTCTGCAGCACGAGTTCCATCCCCAGCCGTCCAGGGAGCAACCCACATGGCACAGCAGACCTCTCCTGTCTCCCCCGCTGCTCCCCTCAGCAGTGTATTTCAATCAGTCTGCCTGTTCTGTTCCCCGCTCTGTCCCTGCTGAATCCTCTCACCCCCACCTCTACCCACCCCCCCTCCCCGCATCTCTGGCCTATACCCCAGCTCTTGTACACATAAATAAATAAATCTTTCAAAAAAATGTTCACTTGGGGGGGGTTAAGATAGCTGGTGATGTAACGAGGCATCGTAAGCCAAAGGTCTCTCTTCTGTCACTAGTACCACCTTCATCTTTCTTCTTAGCTTATGGCTCGAGCGTTTTCCAGGAGCAGGGGTGTGGGAGGGTATCTGCAAGGCGCCACAGAGGATGCGGACCTGGAGATGGCACCCGTTGGAGAGGCCCCTTGGTGGCATCTATGAGTCATGCAGTACTGTCCCTGTCTGAGGCAATGGGGAGCTCAGCTCCACAGACGTGCCTGCTGCTCTCCTCACTTCCTGAGTCAGGATGAGAGGAGCCTGCCATGTGCCTCAAGATAGGGGCGCCAAGCAAGTAAGACAGCATCCCTGACGCCAAGGACCACGACTCTGGTAAAGAAGACAGATGCGTGAAGTCCCAGGTTTCGACAGTCAAAGGAGAGCTAAAGGGGTTCCCCTCCCTTTTCTGCTGGTACGAGGCCTCTGAGGGGCATGGCTGCTTTGTGATCACTTCCAGGGCAAACTCCTGTGGGAAGAGGCCCTGGCAGACAGACCTGTGGGTGCTCAGCGCGAGAGATCTGGAGTGCTAGCTGCAGGAGGCTGCACCCTGCTCGCCTGTGCGGTGGATGGCCTTTGTGACTCATGGAGGCCCCTTTTGCTGGAGCGAACAGGCTCCTCTGGGTCTTGAAAACACCCGCAGACAGACTCTAAGGCTCCCTGGCCTTGTCTCTGGCCGGTTCATTTCAGGGAGGTGGCATTTCCTCTGCCTGTGCTACTTCTGCTTCTTTGAGTCTTGAGGAAATTCTCGTGTGAAGAGTCTGGCCCCGGCTTGGCAAGCCTACACGTATTGAAGAAAGCGTAATTGGTTCATAGTCTCAGTCTTTCCACGAAGTCATTAGCTGCTGTAAGTAGTTATCTCTAAGGGTAAGACACTCCCCGGGGAGGAGGACTCTGCAGGCCTGTGGTCTGGTACCTGGGCCAGCAGCTCATTCTCCTGCAGCACTACTCCTCGGGGCACGGCCAGTGGGGTAGACCAGCGCTCCCTTGGGACCAGCCAGGTCCAGGGTGGAAGGAAAGCGGACGCCTGCATCTCTCAGGGAGCACCTCCTCCCACCTGAGAGTCCCACCCTGGGGACAGTCACCTGAGCAAAGACACATCGCCCTGGTTTGTGCGTTGCTATATCTTGGAGTCTCTTAATACCAGATGGCTCATTTGGGCCAAGATTCCAGCTTCATGGGGACCATGTCGCTCAGGATGGGACGTGGCAGCCCTTCAACACCACACAAAGTTTCTGCCGAAATTTTTCCGGTGATATCCACGTGGAATTTTAATTTTCCCGTGAAGATCTCAGTGAGACCCCTGTATTCTTCAGCTTTGAATTACAAGAAGCAGAATAAAGGCACAAGCCCCTTCCAGGTAAATGGAGCCGTAGCAGGCATTTTGCAGATGACACGACCCTTAAGTTGATGATGCTCAGAACATGGATCTGAAGGGGGTTACCGAGGACTAAGTGTTCTCAGCCATCATTACAAAAACCATGGCGCGTCATCCCGGAGAAGATGACAAAGGATGTGCCACATGGCAGAGACCCTAGGGGCCAAGCTAGTGTTATAAGAAGGTGAGAGGTGTAGCAGAAACATGGTGTTCCCCTCTGTCCCACGCAACTAACGAAGCGGTCGGTTTCCTGGGAAAGGCAGCGGATGTCCTAGACGAGCCAGGAGAGGATTGTTCATAATGCCAAATGTTTAATTAATGTCATATTACTGAGAGACCTATGGCCATAATTAAAGCAAAGGTCCCAGTATGCAGAGGGGGTTTATTGATTAATTAATAATTGATAGTGAGACTAGGGTAGAGGTGTTAAGCTCAGGGGTCTGCAGATGGACAGGGCTGGGTACAAATTTCAACCCTGTTATATATTATACTAATGTTACGATCCAGACCAGGTTGTCTGATTTCTATGGGTACCAATTCCCTCTCTGATAAAATGGAGACAGTAGTAACAGCTACCTCACAGGTGACGGCAAGTAATGCCTTAGTATGGTGTCTGGCTGAGGCCGGTCATTAAGTCTGTAATTATTAAGAGTAAATGTTCTGTAGTTTTTCCTTTATAAACTAGAACACAAATTGGAAATCAGAATTTATTTTCTGTCTTTGGTGATGGTTTCATTTTCAAAGTGAACTTGAAGTATTCGAAAAAGGAAAGTGAATTTGGCATGAAAAAGCATGATGTCTTGATTCGAATTTAAAACTGTTTACATACATACAAATTTCAAAACTTCTACTATGGACTGGTATTTTAAATATCTGGAAAAGATGTTGAATAAGTTATCTTTTTTCTGGTATGCGTCCACTCATTTAAAAGTGCCTGCGTTTTGCTGATAAATTTTTTATGATGTTTGGCTCAGAAAAATCAAACGGAAAATCCCCCTCCTTGGTTTTACAAATAATAACAAAGTATAAAAATATCTTATCAATGAACTGAAGTGATTATTAATCACCCAGCTTTTTTTTTTTTTTTTTTTGGTCTGTAAATGCCAAGTAATGTGCTTGATTGATTTTATAACAAAAACGATTCTGTATAGAAATTGACAAAACATGCCTATTAATGAATGCTTCACAAAACAATGCCCCATGTCAGTTGTTGCCCATCCTCCAATAGCACTGGCACTGGGTGCACCCCAGTTCTTTGCATGCTGTCCGCCTTCATTCAAAAGGTCAAGGTCGACCTTTTGAAACATCAAACATAAAATCCTTTAAAATGTCTTTCAGCGTTTTCATGTTATACAAGGAACAACTCATACTCATTACTTTTTTGAAACTATGCTATTGAATGATTAGCACATGGACTTGAAATTTTAATGTAAAACTTGTTCTCTGCTTTATGGCACCTATTGAAAGAATTTGGGGGTTTTCCTTTTCTGTTTCTATAGCTTCTCTTCTTCGGTCACTGTGATTTTTCTCTTAGGAAAAACTGTCGAAAAAGATTTCTATCTTCCTATCTTATTCCGGAGCCTTTTCCATTAACATGTTCTTCATTTTCCTGGTAGGACAGCATGTAATGGGGACTCTCTCGTTTTCTTGAAGGCAGAAGGGGAGGAGTTAATTCCTCGGTGCCTTGTGAGTGAGTTTTATTTATGCGTGTGACCCGCGGTAAAGAGATTTATCTTCAATTATTAAACTCTGTAGCCATGTGTCAGGAACTCACACCCGCATAAGCTAGATGGATGCAGATATAAAAGTGGGGTTTGCTTAATGAAAGATTGCAATTAAAAACGGGGCAGTCAGGTAGAAATACTGGGGCTACCCGACTTGGGGGGGCGGGGAGAGGCGTGGGGGAGGGAAGGGGAGAGAAAAAATGAAATTGATTTTGCGGGCGGGTCAAGCATCCCGCCATCCATGTTTTCAGCGCTGCGGCTTAGCGGCTTAGCAGTGTTTAAAAGCGCTGCCCGGCGGGAGCACCTGCACGTCCCCCCGCCCCGCGGTGCAGACCCGGGCGACCCGGCGTGGGCCCGCGAGGTCTCCCCGCGGCCGCCGAGCTCCAGCCCCGCGCACGCGGCGGCCGCGCGCCGGGCGCCTGCTGCTCGCGGCCGACCTTGCCGCGTTTCCGCGCCGCCTCCGCCGCCAGCCCGCCAGCCCAGACAAGTTTATTTACACACCCCGCGCCGCACACACCCCCTCGCGCGGGGAGCCGGCGGGCACGCCCTCCGCCGCCGCCGCCGCCCGGCGCTGCCCCGGGAGCGAGCCGGAGCCGAGCGCCGCCCGCGCGCGGGGCCGGGGCCGGGCCGGGCCGGGCCGGGCGGGCGCCGAGGGAGGCGGCGCGGGCGGCGCGGGGCCGCGGCCGCTGCGCCCGGAGGCTCGGAGCGCGCCGCGGCGGCCCGCGTGCGCCTCTTGTTCCCGGTGTAATTTGCAGCCAATCACCAGTGGGTGTCCGCGCCCCTGCGTCCTGCTCACCTCGCGCCGAGCGCCCCCGCCCCGCCCCCGCCCCGCGCCTCCCCCCGGCGCGCGGCGCTCCCCTCCCCCGCAGCCGCACACGCACACACACACACACACAAACACCGGGCGGGGGAGGGCGAGCAGGGCGAGCGGAGAGAGGAGAGGCTCCCCGGCGCCCGCCCGCCCTCCCGCGCACACGGCGACTGGAGACGGACGGAGAGCACCGCGCCGGCGAGGAGAGACCACCGCGAGCAGCCCCGCGCTCCCACACACACGCTCACGCCCGGCTCCCCCACCCCCGCCACCGGCACCGTCTGCTCCTCCTCCTCTCCGCAACAGGAAAAAAAAAGCCATTTACAGGTATTTTTTTTTGATCCGCATATTTATTTCTCCCCCCTCCCCAACAGTTTGTTTACAAGTATTAAAGTTGTAATTGGGAGCTGCCAAGACACATCTGGATTTGTGTTTCTTTGTGTTAGGGGGTGATGTGCAACTAATTAAAGGCAGACTGGCAGCGTCTGCAAATTCTAAGGCTCCCCAAATAAAAAGAGACTGGTAAGTGATTGTTCTTTCTCTTTCTCTGCCTTTTTTTTTTTCCCCCCCTCTTAAATGTTTGCTGTCCGTGGGGATTGTAAAAGTAGATTATGAATGCTGGACTCCAGCAATAAAAAGGCGTCGCTGTATTAATTTATTAATTAATCTGCACCCGCCCCTCCTCCTGAATGTTAAATATGACCTTTGATCTCTGTGTCGCTGGTAGACCAGACATACAATATTAGGTTTGTACAGTCACATTGTTTAAAGGCAGAGCAGGGTCATGAAGTCTGGGTGTCTAATTTAGCTCTGGAAGAGGACTGTAGTTATTTGTGTGTGTGTGTGTGTGAGAGAGAGAGAGAGAGTGTGTGTGTGTGTGGCGTTATTTTTTTTTTTTAAAGAAAATCCAAACAATAGCTGTGGCTTAGGTACCTTTTTCATGCTCCAGAGATGCATCGATTAAACAATAATGACCTGGATAGTGGGCACAGTCATTTTCTACAGTTTCTGGTGGTCTTAAACCTTGAGGGAGGAAGAGGGGAGGCGATGGTAATGAGAAAAGCAGGGAAGCTTCTGTGTGGAAAAAAACACCACTCTCCTCCTCTGAAAGGGGGCTTTGCAATATTTCTTTATTGGGAACAAGGTCAGAGACTAAAATGTAGAAAAATTTCCCTCCACTCAGGGCGATGAGATCTAATGCATGGTTGGCATAACTAGTTTCTCCTGAGTAGCAGTTATGATGGTCGGTGCAGTTACAATGTGATTCGCAGAAACCGAAGCTCGGTGCATATTCTTGCTGCCTTCCCCCACCCCCTCCCAAGCATGAAGAACATTTAGCCAGGAGCATTTGGGGGGCACCCTTTGTATTGCCATCAGGCCTCAGAAGGGAGCAGTTTTCCCTAATGCGAAACCACAGAGGTGGTTCCTGAGTGATTAGGGACTTGCTGTGATTGAAGGATGCCTGCTAGCTTCTAATCCAGCCAGGGGTGAGGTTCCTTATCTTGATTTACTTTGCCTAATAGGGATTTGTTTACATAAACCCCTCTTTTTAGGGCACCTCATCAGTAGGTCTTGAAGTTTTTTGCACTTGGAGTTGGGGCATTAATGGTTCATTAATCTAATTATAAGCATAATTACTATAATTGATATCTATTTTGATCTGAATATTTGAAACTGAGACTGCTGGGCCCTCCTTTAGAATTCCCTGAACTCCACATGCTAGACGGATATGTGGACTTCAGAAGGTGTCACAGGAAGGTATTCTGGCCAAAAAAAAAAAAAAAAAAAATCTGAAACAAAGAAACTGGTTTTTTAGGTTAATATATACTTTATGTCTCTGCTTTACTTCTTAAAAGGCGATGATATAGGGCTCCCTCTGTAATAAACAGCTAAAATACCTCTTCCTAAAGCATAATAATGGCCTGTATGCAAAGAGATGAATGCAAATACCCAGTTGACATTAAACTTTGCTCTGAAAAAGAGCAAAAGGAAAAATCATCTCAATGGTTATTTCTTGAGGTAAACAGCACCTTCAGTCCTCCTCCCGCCCCCCCCCCCCGCCGCCCCCCACCTTTTTGCTCGATGTGAAAACCAGTGACAGTGAGAAATCCTTTTTAAAAAAAGTGCCATGCGTGCCTCTGGTCCTAGACAGAGCCAGGGTTCTCCATCAGGAATTACTAACACTTGGTTCAGAACCTGTGACATGACTCGTTTGCATTTTATTCTGCATTTTATCTGGCCCGTCTTCCTTGCCGTTCCTTTCCCCCTTTTAAACAAGTAGAACGCCGCCCTCTCACCCCCACCCAGCCCCGCCGCCAAATGGCTTGTACAATTGAGACCTGTCCTTGGTCCATTGAATTAAGACCCTAACAGAGCCAGCTGTGCTGGGATTCAAACTAATGACCGCAGACACAGAAGGACACTGTGGCAGCTGGTAGTTGCTTTCCCCCGGCCTCTTCGGCCGGGATTGTCTGCGGGCAGGCTCTGGGCTCTCGGCGGCATTGTGTTTGCTTACAGTTTATACTCGGCTGTATTGTCGACTTTCTCGGTACTTCATTTGCTAATTTCCTGTTCATTTTCCTCATAGGGCCATTGCTGTTCTCTCCTCTACAGCATTTGCATGCCCAGGCTGCGCCCGTTCACACATTTCATAATGTTTAAATGCCCTCTGCTTCTAGGTAGTGTCGCCCTCGCACCCCTGATTTGCATGTCTTTAGCACTCCAGTTGCCCTTTTCCCTCGGCATTTGTCACCCCCGTCTTTCCTCCTTCCCCGGGTACCCCGGCTATTAATGCGTTTTCTCAGGAGGGTTATAAGAATAGGGGGGAGGAGCTGTGGCGTGCAGTGGGGAGAGGGCGAGCGGGCGAGGGAGGGAGGGAGGCGGGCGGGCGGGCGGGCGGGGAGGGAGGCAGGGGGAGGCAGGGGGAGGGAGGGAGGGAGGGGGCGGGAGCGCGGTGGGAGCGTGGGGGAGGGGAGGGGGTCGCGCCTCGACGATTGTTATGCAAACGACCTGACGGGGACGGTGGGGGCTCGCGGTGCCTGCGGTGGGGGAGCGCGGGGACTGTTTGTTTTTCCGCCCGGTCCTCGTGCAGCCCGCTGGAATGACTTTCTTTATTTTAGTTGTGGCAGTTGGAGGATAATGCAAAGGACGACGCCGCCGGGGACCTCGCCGAGCGCGGACATGCGCCCCAGCGCGGAGTAGCGCGGGCCTCCAGCTCCGGCCCCGCGCCCCGGCGCCCGCCCGCCGCCCGCCGCCGCCGCGCGCCCCGCAGCACCATCGCCCCGCGCCCGCGCGCCCCCCTCCCGCCGCGGGGCCGGGCCCGGCGGCCCCCGCCTGCACCCTGCACCCCTTCTTCCCCCCTGCACCATGAACACCAACGTCTGCGTGGAGCCGGGGCCGGGCCCCGAGGCGCCGGGGCTGCCCAAGGAGAGCCACCTGCCCGAGGGCGCGCTCAACAGCCTGGTGGATTACAACTCGGAGATGGAGCGCTACCGCTCCTTCGCCTCGTCCTTCTACAAGAGCGGCGGCGGCGCCTTCCCGCAGGCCGCCAAGATCGCGCGCATCACCACCCCCATCTTCCCCAGCAGCGCCGCCGCCGCCGCGGCCGCCGCGCGCATCGGCATGTCCCCCTGGACCTGCGACAACGCGGCCACCGCGGCCGCCGCCACCGCCATGCTCTGGGGCAGCGGCGGGGGCGGGGGCGGCGGCGGGGGCGGCGGCGGCGGCGGCGGCGGCGGGGGCGGCGGGGGCGGCAGGAAGTCCTCGGCCGCCGCCGCCGCCGCCGCCGCCGCCTCCTCCGCCGCGGCCTCGGCGGCGCTGCTGCCCGGGGGGCGGCGGCGGCGGCGGCGGCGGGGCGGCGGCGGCGGCGGCGGCGGCGGCGGCGGCGGCGGCGGCGGCCGCGCGGGGCTGCACGCGCGCGGGGACGCGGCGCGCCTGGGCAAGGCGGGCTGCGCGGCCGAGCCCGCGCTGCAGATGGCGAACGGCAACTTCCTGCCCGCGCTGGCGCCCGAGCACTGCCGGCCGCTGGCGGGCGACTGCGTCAACAAGCTCAAGTGCGGCGCGGCCGACGCGGAGCTCATGAACCTGCCCGAGCGCGTGGGCGCCTTCCCCGCGCTGCCCGCGCTCGGCGGCCTCTCGCTGCCGCCCGGCGTGATCGTCATGACGGCGCTGCACTCGCCCGCCGCCGCCTCGGCCGCCGTGTCGGACAGCGCCTTCCAGATCGCCAGCCTGGCGGACTGCCCGCCCGGGCCCGCCGCGCCCGCCGCCGCGCCCGCCGGCTCGGGCGCCGCCACGCCCGCCAAGAAGAAGCGGAAGCGCTGCGGCGTGTGCGTGCCCTGCAAGCGCCTCATCAACTGCGGCGTGTGCAGCAGCTGCCGCAACCGCAAGACCGGACACCAGATCTGCAAGTTCAGGAAGTGCGAGGAGCTCAAGAAGAAGCCGGGCGCGGCGCTCGAGGTCAGAGGGGACGATTTCCTGCTCCCCGCGCTGCCCCCGCCCCTGCTCGCGCCCCTGTCCTCCCCGCTGCCGGGCTTCTGGCCGGGCTGCCGCCTGCCGCCGCCCGGCCCCGACGCGCCCTGCCGGCTCTGAGCGCCCCCCGCCCGCCCGCCCGCCCGCCCGCCCGCCCGCCCGGGGCCGGGGCCGGGGCCGGGGCCGGGGGCGGGGAGGACGCGGCCGGGGGTGCCCCCGCCCCCCCCCCCAGGCGGCTCGCCTCGCCGCGCCGCGCCGCCGCCCACCGCGCGCTCGGCCCGCCCGTTAGCCCCGAGAGGGCAGAGCCCGGGGCCCCGCGGCTGCCAGGAGACGTGACTTAGCCTCGGGGATGCAGGGCCGGCGCCCCCCAGGCGGGGAGGGCGGCGTCCACAGGCTGCTGCCCCCGGGGTCACGCGCTTTCCTCACGCCCGGGCGCGTCCCGCCGCCGCCGTGGCCCCTGCGTTGCTCCAAGTCTGCGCTCCGCGGCCACCGAATCGCTGTGCCCCACGCGGTTTGGGGGACACCGAGGAGGCGGAGGAGGCAGGAGTGGTTCCTCCTCCCCGTCTGTTCCGGAGACGGACGACGTCCATCCAGACGATCGCCCAAGTAATGGTGGATTAGGCTTTTGATTACGTTAAAAACAAAGATGGATGTCTTCGGTGCAAGTTTCTTGGGGTGTTTTCATCACCTGATCAGAACAGAAAGGGAACGATGGGGGAATCGCAGGTGAAGGCTGCGGGTGGCAGGTGATAAGGTCGGTAATCAAATCTAGCCCTTCGAGGAAACGTCCCGCAGGCCGTCAGTTGCTCCCGTAGGGAAGGCCCATAGGTGTGGGCTCTGGGGTGCGGCTCTTGGGCGACCGGGGGTCTCGTGCGGCACCATCATCACAGAGCACCCGCCCGTTCCAGAACAAGGTGATGGGTGACGCCAAGGGCGTCCCCTCGGAAGAGCAGGTCTGTAAAGTGATCAGAGAGAAGCGTGAAAGATCTCTGTTGCAGGTTTTGAGCACACATGAGGTAGTTTTGCTTCTAGTTCTATTCATAGAAATCAGAGGAAATGGGGCAAGGGCATCATGGGTGGTGACCGTCTCCACCCAAACCGCGCGCCTGGCCCTCTTTGTAAGAGAAAGCCTCTCAGCGCAGAGTTTGACTGAGCTCCAGGTTTCTTTCATTTCCTTCAGCAGCTCTGCTTGAGCAAAGACAATGGCAATTATAGAAACGCAGGTCCTTATATCTTCTTAGGTGGCAAAAACGAGTTTTCAGCCTCTGAATTCTCTTTTTTTTCTTTTTTCCTCGATTTCTTATTGTAATTTCTTTAAGTCTCTAAGGCCTGTGAGAAATTAAAATCCAGTTCAGACGGAACTTTCCTGTTCGCCCAGTTGACAAGGACCCCATGCCTCTCCTTCCTCTTCTGGAACCATAATGGTCTCTCCTCAGGGGGCTGGTGGGCCTCCTCTCCAGCCAGGCCCAGGTGACTCTCAGCATCCGGGTTCAGGGTGTTAGTGGACGGGACCACTGTGTAATTCTGACTGGCTTAGTAAATGACCGCCCTGATGACAGAGCTTGACCAACGTCTCCCGGGTTTTCTGTGGGGGTTTCTAAGAGGATTCCATCAGTTTCCTTTTCTCTTTCTTCGTGGCTGTCCCACCAACTTGTGCTGTCGAGATTCCCGAGGCATTCTGATCACAAAGTCTTCTTGCATTACCTCTTGTTCTTTTTTAAGATCCACTTGTACACAGTCCTGCTGGTCTTGACAAAGCTGGGCATGGGGGGAGGAGGGAGCAGCGAGTTTCTGTCTGCAGTGCAGCCTCTGAGATATGCGACCTGCACCCCTCTCACCCCAAGATTGCCCCGCTTTGAGGCTAAGATCCATCATGGAACGCTGCTTGGCAGGAAGAAAGGAGAAAATGGTTGTCATTGGCTAAGTGTCTACCTGGACCATTCACAGAATGCCATGGCAGGGTGCTTCCTTGAGGACACGTGTCAGCACGCAGGGGGCTTCTGGGAAGCCAGCCCGGCACGAGTCAGTGACAGAGGGTGGTGCCCGAAGTGGAGCTGGGCCAGTGCTTGTGGGTCAGTGCAGGCCCCCCACCCCCCACCCCCTGGCCTACCTGCCTCTCTCTAACTTGGTTCCTTACCGTCATCTGAGGAGATGGGGTAGAGGTTGCACAGACCCTTCGCTGCTTCACGGAGGGTAGGGATTTGGGGGTCCATTGTGGACATCACCTGCCCACACATCAGTTCAGTGCCTCCAACTCCTGGTGCTGGGTTATGGACACCCATCCCTGAGTGGCTCACGGCCATCACTTACATTCTCGTTTGTCACTTCATACCCGATGTGTCCTTTTTCCCTTTGACTTATTTTCATCCCAGAGCCTCGAGCCATAATCAGATTTTCAGGGTGAGTACACTGAAATTAAGACAGACACACGTGGGTGTGTTGGGATCCTTACCCACACTTTTAAAAAGCCTCCCCTCCAACCTTCCTTTCCAAACTGCTTGACTTATTTCCACATTTTCTTGCTTAGTTCTCATGTTAAGAGCATCTCTCATGTTTTCAAAATATGTTCGTACAGTGACCTCTTGGTAACATTTCATATGATAACAAGCCGCATAAACAAATGTCTTTTACCAAGGGTAGAGGGCTCCCTAGTTTGCACACCCCACTGTTCTCTTAGTCAATTGCTAGAATAAATATTGTGACTAAGTTTCTAAGCAGCTGAATGTCTTTCCTTCAACAGCTTATCTGGAAACTTTGTATCCTAAGTGACCACTAATAAGTCCCTAGATATGCCTAGAAACATCAGCTATTGTCATTTGTTACATACTAGCACTTTGTCCCCAAAGATAATCCTTCAGTTTTATATACTCACAACAGATACATTTTTGATACTAAGCTCCAACTCTTCAAAGTAGCAGGACCTGCTGTAACTCAGGGATGAAATTGTCCCTGGCAAGCCCCACCTCCCATCCCTGCACCTGGCTCAGGTGGCATGATGGAGCTGGGTGGAGACCACCTGGCCTGGCTTCTCTCCTATCAGCTGATTCATGGAGTCACATTAGTGCCCGCCCTTGGGGAGGTGCCCTGCGCCCAGTCTGCTCTGCTGTCACCTCCCAGAGTTTCTGTGAGTGGGGGAGGGACCATGTAGGGACACCCGGTGAGAGACCGAACAGCTGCAAAGTCAGGAGACAGGACAATGCCCTTCTCCCTTTTGTGTGTGTTCTTTTCCACTTTTTAAAACATTCCTGCTGCTTGTACAGGCCCACGATAATTTCCTGCAAGTGAGCTTGGGCATCTAAGGAGTGCGAGGAAACGTACCCAGGAGGAAGCGTATGCAGGTGTTGCTCCAAATTTGATACTTGACTGAGAAGAGTGTTTCGGGGTGGACACACTGGGCTGTGCCCTGAGCCTCCCCGCACTGGCCACTGAGAGCTAGCCACAGGCATTCTGGCCGCACGGGCAGAAAGGGGGCACCTGCTCCCCAAAGCCGGGTAGAGAGTCAGTGTGTCACTCGCTTTCAGAGTCTGTGCATAGATAGGGGAATCAGGCCATGAATGTCCACTAAGTTTTTAAAGTTTGAAACTTTGAAGCTTATTCCACTTATGGGTGAAACACAAATAATTCATTCCTTAAAATGAAACATCTACCAGGAAACATAAACATTTGTTTTAACCTGAAAATGCTAAACTCCAAGGGAAAGAGGAGCAGCTGAAGTCGCAGCAGAGATCTGTAGCAGCCATGTCGCATGCCACGCAAGGGTGGGGCGCGTGGCGGCCTGATCCACCATGAGCTTCAAAACACGGGTGCAAAGTGGCTCTTTAAACAGCCACACGTTTTCAATAATTCCCAGATGAAAACATCCCATCCATCCAAGCATCATATAAATAAATGCTAAGCAATGTTTTGGATGGCAGTGAAAATAAATTTGTAAATTATTCCAAAAGGACATGTGATATTCAAGTACAAACCACCAGGAGAGCCAGTGGGGCACATTGAAAGTCTAGACTTCAGTTTAACCAGAAAAAAAGTGTTTGGACACTTCAAATAAGGAATGAAAGTGTGAGCTAGTGATGAGGGAAATAAAAGCCACTTAATTTTTAGGGGTTTTAATTAATTGATCATTGATTTATTAGTGGCTATTTTGTTTGTTTCACACAACTGTTTCCCCCCGGGTGAATAGTTTGAGTTCTGTGTAGTCAGATCCAAAGGCTGATAAATATGGGACTCTTTCATCAAATAGTCGAAAGACTGACATTGTGAGCGCGGCCCAAGTGGGCTCCCCTTGCGTATTTGGTCGCGCAGCCGGGCTGGTCATGGGCCCAGCTTGTGCATTTGATTATTCCCAGGGAATAGCGTGTCTTTAAAAACTCTTCTAAAGGAGTTGGTGCTCCTCAATCTTAACATCCAGCCATCACTGGTCAGATGGTCTGGGGATGAAGTTCACTCTTACCAGAAAATACTGTTTTTCATTTTTCTTCCAAAAAGTATAGCAAAAATACCCCACTTTTCAATAAATTTCACATAAGTGGATACGCTTTGGTATCTTATGTTTGTTTATACTCAACCTTATGCAAAATATTAAAAAAGTATCTCATGTATTCGTCATGTAAAAATAAGTCAATGAACGGGTGAAATTCAAGATTTACTGAAAGGCTCTTGTGAATATGCAAATTGGAGAAAAGACTTCTTTTTTAGTTTTTCTCTTTTAGACTAGTCTTTAAAGAGCAAGGAATCCAGGGCCTTGCTAAGACACAACCCATGAAGCTCTCCGCAGCCACTGCAGCATGAGTTTGATCCACAGCCAGGGAGCTAACCCACATATGGCGCAGCAGACCTCTCCTGTCTCGCCCGCTGCTCCCCTCAGCAGTGGATTTCAGTCAGTCCGCCTGTTCTGCTCCCCACTCTGTCTCTGGTGAATCCTCTCACCCCGCCCCCTCCACAGCTCTGGCCTGTACCCTGGTTCTTGTATGTATAAATAAATCAATAAA